ACATGAGTGAAACTCCGTCTCAAAAAAAAAAAAAGATATCGAAGTATATGAAATTGCAAAGGAAGAGATCATTAAACTGCAAAACTCAAGATAATCAACTAAAAAACTACAATAGACAAAAATTCACTAAGGTAGCAGGATATAAAATGGTATACTGAAATAAATAGCTTTCATGTAAACACTGTCAGTTAGAAAGTATAGTAGAGGAAAGGGGGCGATATACAGTAACAAGAAAAAGATAAAGTACCAAGGAGTACATTTAACAAAATTGTGCAAAACCTATACAAGGAAAACTTAAAGATACACTGAAGGATGAAAAGAACAAGTTGATCAAATGAAAAAGACACACCAAGGTCTGCAAATCAAGATTATAAAGCTTTTCTCTCTTTGACTTATATTTAGTGTACCTCAATATCTATACATTTTTTCCTTGACTTAGACAAGTCCAAATGGAAAAAGGAAGAAGCAGGTATAACCAAGAAAACTTTAAAAAGAGCAGGGAGACAGGTTAGCCCTACCAGATACTAAAACATACTGTTAAGCTTCTATAATTAGAAGCGTAGTATTAGTGACAAATAGGCAGAGTCTGATGGGTGGATTCAGAAGTCCAGAAATGACATAATTACATGTGGAAATTCAGTATATGATAGTGGTGGTTTCTCAGTTTAGTGAGTGAAGTTGGGACTTTTAAAATTTTTATTTTTATTTATTTATTTTTTGAGATAGGGTCTTACTCTGTCACCCAGGCTGGAGTACTGTGGCTTGATCATGGCTTACTATAGCCTCAATCTCCTGGGCTCAAGTGATCGCCCCTGTCTCAGCCTCCCAGTAGCTGGGACTCCAGCCATGTACCACCACGCCTGGCTAATTTTTTTTTTTTTTTTGGGGGGGGGTAGAGACAGTGTCTCCCTTTGTTGCCCAGGCTGGTTTCAAACTCCTGGGCTCAAGTGATCCTCCCTCCTTGAGCTTCCAAAGTGCTATAATGACAGGCATGAGCCACTATGCTTGGCCTAAAGTTGGGACTTAATAAATGGTGTTTTGGGGATAACTGGTAGTCATTTGGGAAAAGACAAGTTTGGATTCATACTGCCACATGTTAACTTGTCTAGAATCTACATGGATGAAAAAGTTAATGTAAAAAATGAAGCCATAACTATGACCAAGTACAGAAGCCAAAAAGAGATTGATAAATTCAACTATATAAAAATAAAACACTTCGTTGCAAAGACAAAACAAAACACTGTTAGCTAAGTCAGAAGAAATAACAAACAGATAAAAATATTCTGTACTTCATCTTACAGACAAGAGGCCCAGTCTTCCTAATTTACAAGAAATTCCCAGAAAGATCACTAAGTTTTCTGTCCCCAAACTAGCAAAGGACATGAATGTACAGGCAACAGACCTGAGAAATGTATATTAGCACCAAACAGCAATACTCTCCTTTACTAGTTGACCAAAATCCAGAAGTTTGACCACACGTTATGTTGGTCAGGCTGTGAGAAAGTAAACGTGCTTGTGCATCCTCTACAGACGGGAATTGGGCAATATCAAAAACTGCATGTAGTGATTTACCTAGCAGTCCCAGTTCTGAGCCTCTACTTGACCTTCATATGTATAAAGGTCATATGACATAAAAATACAAGCTTAGGCCGGGCGTGGTGGCTCAAGCCTGTAATCCCAGCACTTTGGGAGGCCGAGGCGGGTGGATCACGAGGTCAAGAGATTGAGACCATCCTGGTCAACATGGTGACACCCCGTCTCTACTAAAAATACAAAATATTAGCTGGGCATGGTGGCGCGCGCCTGTAATCGCAGCTACTCAGGAGGCTGAAGCAGGAGAATTGCCTGAACCCAGGAGGCGGAGGTTGCGGTGAGCTGATATTGGGCCATTGCACTCCAGCCTGGGTAACAAGAGCGAAACTCCGTCTCAAAAAAAAAAAAAAAAAGTTTATTCCTTGTGGCATTGTATGTTATAGCAAAATACTGAATAAATGTCATGAGTAGGGATTTGTTAATCTACATAATTTAATGGTAATTGTGTAGATAAATAATTTACACAATTCAATACTATGTTCTGATAAGGGCTTTGAGCATATATTGTGAAAACAAGAGAACAAGATGCCAAATAGTTCATGATAGACTATTTTATGTTTGTATTTGCTTGTAATACCTATGTCCTTAAATTTAAAAAAATACAGCTTGATGTTGTGTGGTGGGCCTGAAGTCCTCACTATTTAGGTGGCTGATGCAGGAGGGTCACTGGAGCCCAGGAGATTGAGGCCAGCCTGGAGCAACATAGCAAGACCCCCCCACACCCCATCTCTTTACTAGAAGGCTAAACAAGATGCCTTTATTGATCACTTGTTTGGGGGATGGATTGGAGGGAAATATGGGAATGAGACTTTTGTGTGCTTTTAAAAAATAAATTTAGGCCGGGTACAGTGGTTCATGCCTGTAATCTCAGCGCTTTGGGAGGCCAAGGCAGGCAGATCATGAGGAATTCGACCCTATTCTGGCTAATGTGGTAAACCCCGTATCTACTAAAAATAAAATTATCGGGTTGTGTTGGCACCTCCCTGTCTCAGCTGCTTGAGAGGCTGAGAGGCAGGAGAATTGCTTGAACTAGGGAGGCAGAAGTTGCGGTGAGCCAAGATTGCGCCACTGTACTCCAGCCTGGGCAACAGAGCAAGACTCTGTAATAGATAGATAGATAGATAGATAGATAGATGGATGCAACAGAGCAAGACTCTGTGATAGATAGATGGATAGTTTGTGTAATGAAAAGGTATATAATCCAATCCAAAATTTAAAATACGAGACTCAAAATAGTTTTGAAATTATCCAACTTTTTAAGAATCTTAAAGCCAAGAAGGAGCAAGAACAGAGAGGGGGCTTCAGCTCAGGACTGCAAGTTCCAGCCTTTCCAGTGGTGTCAGGCTGCCCAGTCCATATATATACTTTTTTTTTTTTCTTTTTTTTTGAGACAGGATCTTGCTGTGTCCCCCAGGCTGGAGTGCAATGACATGATCATAGCTGAAGCCTCTTCCTCTGTCTTCAGCCTCCCGTGTAGCTGGGACAGCAGTCTTGTGCCACCACACCTAGCAAGTTCTTTTGTATTTTTAGCAGAGACGAGGTCTCAGCATTTTGCCCAGGCTGGTTTTGAACTCCTGGTCCCAAGCGATCCTCCTGCCTTGGCCTTCTCAAGTGTTGAGATTACAGGCATAAACCACTGCACCTGGCCTGCCCTGTCCATAGATGTGCATGCTAAGTGTTGGTTTGTCCTGTATATCTGAATCCTTGGTCCTTGTTCCAGGATTATGGCCACTGCGGTCTGACCCTAATCGTGAGACTGATGACACTTTGGTGCTTTCTTTTGTGGGCCAGACAAGGTAAGGATGGGTCTAGTGCCAGCTGTAGGTGCTGGTGAGAAGATTGTGAGGTGGGGAAGCTGGTCCCAGGCTGACCCAGGCCCTCCATTCTGCTGCAGAGTTCTCATGTTAAATGGAGAGGAGGTAGAAGAAACCGAACTGATGGGTTTCGTGGATGATCAGCAGACTTTCTTCTGTGGCAACGTGGCTCATCAGCAGCTTATCCAGGTGATAACTGAGAAAGGGGCAGGCATTACCATGTACTTGAATTGACCTAGAGTGCAGTACAGAGCACCACTGGATTTTAAAACAACCAATTTTTATGGCTCCAAAAATAATGTAAAAATTCTAAGGGAAAAAAATTACAGATAACCCACTACTCAGAGATCACAGCTCTTAACTTTAGAGTTGCTCCTTGCAGCTTTATTTTTCTTCTGCAAATGTGTGTGTATTTATTTACATTTTCTTTTATAAACTTGGATCATTTTATATAGAAATATAAAAATATAGTTTCGGATCCTGTTTTAGCACTAATTGTATCTTTCGAGACCTCAGATTTTTTCCCCCTTGTTCAAATAGTGATACATACTTATTATAAAATTGGAAAATACCAAAAAGCACAAAAAAAGAAAAAATTAGTCATGATGCAACCATTCAGTATGGCTCTTGGCAGCCCTTTCCACATATTTATTATAACCGAAGCTTACCCTATTCTGATCATTATTTTCAGTCTATCTGTAATATGGGGCCAGATAGCCTCTGGCATTTGTTATCCACGAGAGCCTCATTTCTGACACCCAGCAATTTTTTGAAGTTTGGAGTGACCCTGATATCCTTCAGCTTTTTTCATTCCCTCTTTATCTTCTGAGCTGTTCTTCACTGTATGGCCAGGGTCTGTCTTGCCAGTGGTGGGTAGAGCACTGGAGTGCCTGAGGATTAATGAACTGTCTCCATCTTTTTATCCACCTGGTCTTCCTTTTAGCCACCTGGCAGTGGTAGATTGGTAAAACCGGAGGGAAAGTTCTGTCGGTTTGCAGACCAAGTATGGGACGTGCCCAGATACTGAGTCATTGCTTTGTCAGTGTTATCTAACTTTTGGCCTGAAGACTGGCACCAGCTCACCTATCTATTATTAAAGAGCTTTCATCCTTTAATATAAACTCAATCATGCTAGGTAAGATGAATCAATAGGTAACAGTGTCACCAACCTACTTCCTGTTTTATTTCAGTGATAAATTTATAAAATATATTTCTATACAATTTTGTAACCTTTACTGAGGAACTTTAAGTAATTTAAATGGCTCATACACAGTAAAGAACTTAGATATTTTAGAGGTTTGATTTGGGGGTTGAGAAAAACTGTTAAGACTGGTGTTCATAGCCAGGTGCAGTGGTTCAAGCCTGTAATCCCAGTCCTTTGGGAGGCCGAGGTGGGTGAATCATGAGGTCAGGAGTTCAAGACCAGCCTGGCCAACATGGTGAACCCCCGTCTCTCTACTCAAAATACAAAAACTAGCCGGGCGTGGTGGCACGCATCTGTAATCCCAGCTACTTGGGAGGCTGAGGCAGGAGAATGGCTTGAACCTGGGAGGTGGAGACTGTGGTAAACCGAGATTTAGCCATTGTGCTCCAGCCTGGGTGACAGACTGACACTCTGTCTCAAAAAAAAAAAATGCTGATGGTCACAGGATCTTACTCTATTTATACTTTCCCATACGATGCAGTTTGTATTACCCAAGTAAGCCTCAATTAGAATGAAATAGGCCTTTTTTCCCTTTGCTGTAGGTTTGTAGGCTGTAAGCTACTCAAGCCAGCCTCCTTCAGGCATTCTCCCAAAAATGACATCTCTTGTAATCATTAGCAGGACTTCAGGGAATAAAACATAGAAGCCTCATGTAGCTTATTTGTAGGGCTCTGCTAGGGCTGCATTTACCACCTTTCCACTCCTGTGTGGCTCCTGGCAAATGCTTGGAGACATCTGCTGTCTGCTCTTTATTTAGATCACTTCAGCATCGGTGAGGTTGGTCTCTCAAGAACCCAAAGCTCTGGTCAGTGAATGGAAGGAGCCTCAGGCCAAGAATATCAGTGTGGCCTCCTGCAACAGCAGCCAGGTGGTGGTGGCTGTGGGCAGGGCCCTCTACTACCTGCAGATCCATCCTCAGGAGCTCCGGCAGATCAGGTGTGTGTGTTTTTTTGTCTGCTTGCTTTTCTCCTCTTTTCTCTAGGACTTCTTTGATCTTTGGATTCCTTCTTCTGCCATATTCTTTGTTCAGCCACACAGAGATGGAACATGAAGTGGCCTGCTTGGACATCACCCCATTAGGGGACAGCAATGGACTGTCCCCTCTTTGTGCCATTGGCCTCTGGACAGACATCTCGGCTCGTATTTTGAAGCTGCCTTCTTTTGAACTACTGCACAAGGAGATGCTGGGTGGAGGTATGTGTCATTTAGCCACCTGGTTGGGATCAGAGTAAAAATGCGGAACAAGAACATAACGTCCCCATTTCCCACAGAGATAATTCCTCGCTCCATCCTGATGACCACCTTTGAGAGTAGCCACTACCTCCTTTGTGCCTTGGGAGATGGAGCACTTTTCTACTTTGGGCTCAACATTGAGACAGGTGAGCATAGAAAAAGAGTGAGGGACTCTTTCAAAAAAAGAGTATTAGAATTACACAGAACTCTTAGTTCCAGGGTTCTGCTTTTGAACTTTCACAGGCCAGCTGTTTGTCCTGTTTCCTTTCTTCCTTTCTCCTGATGTCATTCTCTCTGTAGGTCTGTTGAGCGACCGTAAGAAGGTGACTCTAGGCACCCAGCCCACTGTATTGAGGACTTTCCGTTCTCTTTCTACCACCAACGTCTTTGCTTGCTCTGACCGCCCCACTGTCATCTATAGCAGCAACCACAAATTGGTCTTCTCAAATGTCAACCTCAAGGAAGTGAACTACATGTGTCCTCTCAATTCGGATGGCTATCCTGACAGGTGAGTCTCTTTTTCCTTATTTAATGAGAACTACTGATAGAGGGCATCATGTTTTCCTCAAACCCTCACCTCAAAGCCTTTTTCCATTGTCAAAGTCAGTAAATGAGTAGGAAGTATAGCTAGTGCAGAGGTTCTCAAATCTGGCTACCCAGTAGAAACGTGGGAAGTTTTTTAAACTACAGGGTTTTTGGACTCCTTCTCAGAGTCTGATTCAGTAGGTCTGAGGTTGAGCTCTGGAATCTGTATTTTCAGAACTGAGGTGATTCAAATGATTGTTTCATAACCCGTGATTTAGAGAGCATTTTGTGTGTCTCTAGAGCAGGAGTTCTCAAAGGGTGGCCCCAACCAGCAACTATAACACTACTTGGGAATTTGTTAGAAATGCAGATTCTCTGGCCAGACATGGTGACTCACGCCTGTAATCCCAACACTTTGGGAGGCTGAGGCAGGAGGATCCTTTGAGGTCAGGAGTTCAAGATCAACCTGCCCAACATGGTGAAACCTTATCTCTACTAAAAATACAAAAAGTAGCTGGAAGTGGTTGCACGTGCCTGTAATCCTTGCTACTTGGGAGGCTGAGGCAGGAGATTCAAAGGAGGTTGCTGGGCATGGTGGCTCATACCTGTAATCCCAGCCTTGCCCAGTTGAGGCGGGTGGATCACCTGAGGTCAGGAGTTCGAGACCAGTCTGGCCAATACGGCGAAACCCCATGTCTACTAAAAATACAAAAAATTAGCTGGGCATGGTGGCGCGTGCCTGTAACCCCAGCTACTCAGGAGGCTGAGGCAGGAGAATTGCCTGAACCCAGGAGGCGGAGGTTGCAGTGAGCTGAGATCGCGCCATTGCACTCCAGCCTGGGTAACAAGAGCTAAACTCTGTCTCAAAAAAAAAAAAGAAAGAAAGAAAGAAACTGGGAGGTGGAGGTTGCAGTGAGCTGAGATTGCATCCCTGCATTCCAGCCTGGATAACAGAGCCGAGACTCTGTCTCAACAAAAAGAAAGAAATGCGGACTCTCAGTTCCCACCCTGACTCACAGACAGAATCAGAAAGTCTGGGTGGGGGCCCAGCAGACTGTGTTAACAAGCCCTTCAGCTGACTCTTAGGCAGGCAGTTTGAAAGTCACTATTCTGGAGCAATGCTTTCTTAATTTTATTTTTAATTGGCTATACATTATCATTAAATGGAAAGCTGTTAAAAATATCAGCCTAGGCTCACCCAGACTAATTAAGTAAGAGTATCTTGTGGATGGGACCAGGAATCAGAATTGTCTCTCCAGGTGATGTTTAGCATGGAGTCAAAGCTGGTATAATTCTGCCTTGTTTATCTTCTTGTGTGGAGTTGCCTCATAGAATGTTTACTTTCCTTGAGTCTCCTCAGTCTAAACCCAGACTCTTCTTTCCAGCCTGGCTCTGGCCAACAATAGCACCCTTACCATCGGCACCATCGATGAGATCCAGAAGCTGCACATTCGCACAGTTCCCCTCTATGAGTCTCCGAGGTGAGCCCCAGGGTGGGAGAGTGGGTATGGGAATTGGTGTAGGCCGCTTCTGACTTTCTAAGTGACACTGTTGTTCCATACTTGTTTTGCAGGAAGATCTGCTACCAGGAAGTATCCCAATGTTTCGGGGTCCTCTCCAGCCGCATTGAAGTCCAAGACACGAGTGGGGGCACAACAGCTTTGAGGCCCAGCGCTAGCACCCAGGTAAGGGCAGTGGACAAAGAGATATGACATTAGAGTAGGCAAGCTTTCTGTAAAGGCCAGGTAGTGAAGGCTTTCAGCTTTGTAGGCAATGTGGTCTCAGTTACAACTTGGCCATTGTACCCTAAAAGCAGCTGTAGGCAACAGAGCTGTAGGCAACAGATGGGCATAGCTAGCTTCTATAAAAGTTTATTTATGAAAAGTAGTTGCTACTTGGTGGCCTTGCAGCATGAATAACTCCTTTTCTGTCACCATCAATTTGGGTTCTTTGTAGGGTATGTGTGATTGGGGGCAGAGTAGTAGAATAGGGAGGAGCATGGGGTTTAGAGTCCTACAGAACTTGCATCCAGGTTTTTTTTTTTTTTTTTTTTT